CGCGTATATATTTGGTTTTAATGTTTGTGTTTTGTTATACCTAGGCATTGTGCGTGCAGTTGGTAATATTATATTCGACACGCAAGTGACGATAGATGTACTCGACTGTCGAGAAGAAACCGAAGGAGGCAAGAAAGAACACACAACATTTATTGTTCGCATAGATGTAGTGAGTAGTGAGCATTTAACCTAGTCATGCATTCCAGACACGCGTTACTCAATGTATTTACTTGTGAAGCTATGTTTGTTTTTTTAGAGAATCATCCCCTTATAAATAAATAAATAAATAAATAAATAAATAAATAAATAAATAAATAAATAAATAAATAAATAAATAAATAAATAAATAAATAAATAAATAAATAAATAAATACATAAATAAATAAATAAATAAATAAATAAATAAATAAATAATCTATTCGAGACATAATAATACTGAGCACCACAACCATTAAGTTGCTTTCGATTAATTGTATTCGTATTTGTTTATGTCAGGCCTTTTGTAAATTTATGCATAATGGAATTACATTGAGATTCCATGTTAGGGTTGTTGAAACGAGGTAGCCAAATATAACCATTTCCATTGCAGGTAGCTGATGAACCTGACAACGATTCTAGCAATGACGATGAAGTAGTGGATGCGATCACGCCTTTACCAGCGATAAAGCAGTCAAAACCATCACCGAGAGGATCTCTTGGAAATTTATCACACTTCAGCTGTTCGACGAGAAAGTCCAACGTGCCTCTGTTTGATGAATCGAAGCCAGTATACTCAGACAAATTATTCATAGAACCAGAAACATTCTGTATATCGTTTCCTTACCATCTTGTTTTCAACCAAGACATGGAAATTGTTCAGTGTGGTGCTAAATTACAGAAGTTATGCCCAAGAATAAAAAGTCCCAAAGTGAAACTTGAGGACTTTATCACTATGCAGCATCCTCAAATTCCAATTGACATAATGAGCTTCAGAAAGTTTATTAATATGATCTTCATGGTTGAACTGAAAAGAAATCAAATGGAACTGTCATTTCAGAATAAGCCGCTTCTCTCACTCAGGGGTAAATATATGACGTTGTATATAACTAGTTACTATTCAATTTAATTATTGTTTCATTAAAACACTTATTCCACTGTTTGCCATCACTTTCACAATAATATCATTTACGCTATTCCGCCAACAAATAAAAAAATGGCTGACACTAAAACTGTCGTTAACGTCAAGATATTACACATATGTATATGCTGAATATGTGCAATTTGTATGGTAAGTTTGTATGACTGTTGGTCTCTGTGACTGACGTTATATTAATATATAGTGTAAGATGACGTGTGCATCAACATTTGCTTTATTATTCATTACTATCAGGTCAGATGGTTTGGATGGAGAAGTTACAGTGCATTGCGTTTTTCTGCTCGCCTCGACTGACAACGCTCCAAGACCTTGAGGACAGGAACATGTATTTTTCGGATATAGCACCACATGACGTCACACGAGATCTCATATTGTTCAATCAGCAGCGAGTTGCCGAGATTGAGCTAGCTCGGCAGCTTGAACAGAAGAAAGAGGAGTTAAGAACGTTGATGAAGGATTTACAAGAAGAGAAATTGAAGACCGACATGCTGCTACATTCAATGTTACCACAACAAGTAGCAAACGATTTGAGAGAGGGAAGAAAGGTCGAAGCAGGTATTTTATTACACACGAAACAACCTTTTTATAATAACATACATTCACAGCACAAGACTGGAAGTGAATTAGTATGAAGCATATCATTTTGGAGATACTTTTAACATAAATTGGTATAACAATTTGTAACCCATCTGGACAGATTCAGCTGACATTTTGCTTTTGCTAATTTTCCAGGTGAATATGACCAAGTGACTGTTTTATTTAGTGATGTAGTGAAGTTCACTGATATGTGCGCTGTTTGTAAACCAATCCAGATTGTTCACTTGTTGAATGAAATGTACGTGATGTTTGACAGACTTACAAGTGTACATGACGTATATAAGGTAGTGTGCATAGAAGCTACTACATACATATCTTGTTTTAACACTAATCGTTGGGCTTAACTAAATTAAAAACTAAATATATATATTATTATTCATATTCATTCATATAGTATTATTTTCATACTTCTGCTACCGTTACACCATAAGTTACAGCGGTATTTTACGGGGTATTCTCATCCTACCATATAAGGAAATGCGAGTTCCAAATATGGAATAATTACGCCCCTAAGCATGCTCTAATAATAAAAACAAACATTTCGGCATTCCCAAGATAGTACGCCGTCGCATCAACCTCCGCTGCGCGTCGGTCAATACTGCCGCTGAACTGTCTTTAAGCATACTTAGAGGTATCCTCGTAACCGCATATTATTTCGAGCATTACCATAGATGTTATTATGATGTTTAGAAATTTGCCTGATGAGCTAAATTAACTAACCCAGACTCAAAGTGTTACGACAATCAGTAGTTGTTACATCTGTCTTTCACTAAAATGTAAATGTTGAAATTGGTCATAAATACATTAATACAAATATGCCTGTTTTCAATCTATTTCCATTGAAATATCACTTGTGTATCCTAAATGTAAACGTTAAGTCTAATATTATTTGAAATACATTTCTGGAGATAGTAATCATCTGCTAGCTGCGTTAAAATTATTATTAGTTAATAGTATTGCCTTGTGTTCAACCAAACTTGAATATAATTTAACAAATACTAGTGCCTACCTGAATGATAATAGTTGTGTGCGCAAGGCCTGGCCCTATTCTCTCATGATAGCGAATTAGTGTATATCAAATCTCAGATCATGTACACAATCGTAGTAGCTGTTTTATAAATTCAATAATATAGTTTGGGATCTGGGCATCAACGTATTGCATCATCATTGTCGCAATATTATACGTACTATTTGTGTCTATACATGCATGCATTAGTTGAAACTATTGGAGATGCATACATGGTAGTTGGTGGTCTGCCTATTCCAAATGACACACATGCTGAAGAGTGGCTAACTTTGCCCTGGATGTTACGAGCAGTGGGTAAAGTGAAATCTCCACT